CAGGGTGAGATGCACAGGTGCCAGAGAGGCCCCTGGGCCTAGCCCCCCACCCAAGGGGGGCAGCAGGGCCAGCAGGGGCGTCTCACACGCGCCCAGCAGCACATCCCTGCGCAGCCCCGCGCCCTTGTCCAGCACCTTGGCCCGCAGACGGCGGGCGGCCAGGTCCAGAGGGCTGAGCCCCTCGAAATAGAAGTCCTCGTTGAAGATGGGGTTGGCGCTGCACCGGACCACGCGGCTGCGCTGACCCCGCGGCCGGAGGCGGGGCCGCAGCCCGAGCACCACGAAGCAGCCGCCGCCGCAGCTCCCGGGCCCGGCCCTGCAGCGGGGCAGGCCCTCGGCGCTGACCAGGCGCAGCCGCAGGCGCCCGGGCCCGGCCTGGTACTCGGCGGAGAGGCGCAGCTGCCCGCCGCGCGGCCCCAGGCGCAGCAGGCTGTCCCGCGCGGGCCGCAGGCGGCGGCACAGCACGTCCAGGTGGAAGAGCGGCGGCCGGACCGGCTCCCCGCGGCGGGGCGCGTGCGGGCTGGCGTCCGCCGAGCTCCCCTCCTCCTCCTCCTCCTCCTCCTCCGGGGACCGCGAGTGCGGCCGCGGGGAGCCGAAGGAGGGCGACGAGTCGGGCGACGAGGCCGGGTCGCTGTCGGGCGCCCAGCAGAGGCGCAGGTCCGGGGCGGACACGTGCAGCCGCGCGGGCGCCGGGGGCGGCGTGTCGGGGCCGGGCGGCCGCGGGTGGAACAGGGACTCCCGCCGGCGCGTGTGCGGGCTCTCGGGCAGGAAGGGCCAGCCCCCGCGGCCAGCCAGGTGCGGCAGAGAGCAGGCCCCCGGGAGGCCGCCGCGCCCCCCCGCAGCGCGCCCGGCCTGCGGCTCGGAGGGGCCGGGGCCCGGGAGCCGCGGGGGGATGAAGAAGGGCGGGATGCGGTCGGGCGTGAGGACGTTGGGGCAGGCGGGCGGCGCGGGGCGCGGGGCGCGGCGCTTGGGGAGCAGGCTGCGGGGCGCCCAGCGGGGCCCGGGCTCCGTGGCCCCCGCCCGGTAGCCAGCTTTCTCCAGGAGCCACATCCTGAGGCCCAGAGGTGCCCGGTGCGGGGTCTCCGTGCGGAGGCTGGGCGAGGAGAGAAGAGGAGGAGAGGTGGGTGATGGTAGAAAGCACACCGCCCCCCACCCTCCACCCTCCACCCTCCACCCCTCACCCCGCCGCGACCTCTCCCCGGGCCCAACTAAGGTGAGCAGACATCCCGCTTTTGGCGGGACAGTCCCGATTTTTAACAAAAGTCCCGAAACGCCGCGGGATGCGGGACAAATTGTTAAAAGTCGGGACTGTCCCACCAAAAGCGGGACGCCTGGTCACCTTACAAGGCCCACGCACAGGCCCCTCTATTTGAGCAGGAAAAACCAAGGATGGCCAAGTCTGGGACCCGGGAAGAAGCAGAGGGAGCCCTGGGCTGGACCCATGTTCAGATGCAGGCCTGGGACTCTCCCATGGGTGCTACCGATGTCACGCACTTCAGAGTGAGGAGGCCCAGCACATCCACTGGAGTCCTGGGCTCCCATGAGGAGACTAGAGTTAACAGCCATTTATCCAAAACTCTGTCGTCCTAAACAGGAGCCCAGGTCCCGAACCCCATTCATGTACCCACTCCCCCGAAAGAGCTCACCCACCTCCTCTCCCTGGCCCATTCCCACTTTGGGAACTAACGCAAGGTCTGATCTGGAGGCCTTGGCCTTGCGAGCCCACAGCTGCCATCCCAGGCCCCACCGGGAACTTTTCCAGGCGGAGCCATCCTTCTCCAGGCTAAGCCAGCCCCACCGGCCTCCTCTGGCTCCCACCTCGCCTACCCCAGTCCCTCCTGCCAGAGCAGATGTGCTGCACAGCTGGCTGCTGCCCTGCGAGCACCCAGGGCCCGTTCTAGGAGATCCACCGCCTCCACCCCCTCCACCCCGCCCGTGGGCACAGAATCCCACCCGCCTGAAGCCCTGAGGTCCGGCTCCCCGCCTCCCTGCCCCAAGGCATCCAGAGTCTGCAGAGCAGGGCAGGGCAGGGCAGGGCGAGCCCGCCCGCTGGGCCGCCCCTCCCACTCTCCTCTCCCTTCTGCCTAGGAAACCACTGAGCACAAAGGCGGTATTGATTCCCCGCCACCCCCAGCGGGCTCCCGGAGGCTCCGCCACCTCGCGCTCCCCGCACCCCGCGAGCGCGTTTCCCTGCGGTCCGCCCCAGAGACGGAGCCCACCGCGGGCTCGCTCCGGTGCCCGGAGTGCAGGCCTCACCTTTGGGCCGCCGCTGGGGCTCGGCCTCCGACCCGGGAGGCACTCGGAGCCCAGGGGAGCAGCTTCCTCTTCGGCTTGCTCCCCCAGCCCCGGCCTTCTGGGAGGAGCTGGCAGGGGCCGCCGCTGCCTACGTCTGACCTCTTTTCCTGGATAAACAGCGCCCTGTCTCTGTGACCATCAGCCTGGCCTTCTTAACTCCTTCCTCCAGCCAGGTTTGTCACAGCAAGCCAGCCCCGGGAATAATTGCATACTTAAATCACAGGGGAAGGAAAAAATGTGATCAATGAATGCCATAAAGGAAAAGTATGGGGCACTGTACAGCCGAAGCCCCTAATTTAAATGACGGGGTGTCAGGGAGGGTCTCCAGAACTGGAGGATGAGGGGAAATAATGGTCCAAGGAGAGAGCCCACACAAAGATCCTAAGGAGGAAATGAGCTTGGTTTGATGCCTTGGAGAGACTGAAGGATGGTGGGTATGTCCCGGGTGCAGTTGCTGGGCCTGGAATCCTTGGGAGATGGGGAGGGCTTCGGGGAAGAGGGAGGTAGGTGGCCATCAGGCTGCAGGGAGGTGAAGCTCATGGCCATGGCCACACACATCACTGCCGGAAACCAATTCCACATGTAATAATTACAAGGGCTGAGCCACATATGTAATTACCTGTTAGAACGGCTGGAGGGCATCTGAATAGGACATTTCCCCAAACATAAAGATTTGTATATAGGATTTTTTAAAAATATATATTTTATTGATTTTTTACAGAGAGGAAGAGAGAGATATAGAGAGTTAGAAACACCGATGAGAATCATCGATCAGCTGCCTCTTGCACACCCCCTACCGGGGATGTGCCCCAACCAAGGTACATGCCCTTGACCAGAATCAAACCCAGGACCTTTCAGTCCACAGGCTGACGCTCTATCCACTGAGCCAAACCGATTTCGGCTGTATATAGGATTGTTAGCTGCCAGACAGCTCAGAGCATCTTAAATCTGCACGTAATTGTCCCCTGTTGGCCAAACACCTGAACTGCTGTAGGCTATTCCCCAAACTGACAATGCTTCTGTAAACCTTACCCTTTAAACTGTACTATCTCCACCTTGCCTTAGGACAAATTATGTTAATAAATAGCTCGGGGTCCTTAGACAAGGGGGAGTCTTCAGTACCCTTTAACTGAAGCTCCCCCAATGCCTTTCAAAATTATCTTTCGTCCTTGGACTCCTTCTTAATCTACCTATCAGCTCCTTTCTCCAGATCGCAACACCCCCTTGTTGATGCTGGGACAAGAATCCTGGCACATCACATCTGCAAAACCCTCCTTGCTGGAATCCTTTGGCTTCCATTGTCTTATTCTCCCAGACAGAGTGAGGGGGAGATGAGGCCGGACACCCCTGCTTGCGTGAACTGGTTTTTCTCCCCGTTGCCTTATACACTCTGCTCGCTCCTGGTACTTGACGCGTCTGAAGAACACAGCTGCTGCTTCCAGCAGAAGAAGCTGCCGCCTTGGCCTGGATGGCCTATTGGATCCCACCCCACTGCCTTGGCGGCAGTGGCCTTCTAGATGAGCGCGCTGGGCAGGGGAATGGGTGTTTGGAGTGCGGAGGCAGCAGCTCCCGTTGTTTCAGACAAAGGGGTTTTTATTGAGTCTATGCCGCACGTGGCCTCTTGGGAGAGAAGAGGCAGCTGTCAAAGCCCTAGACACTAGGAAGTGTTTCAGAGGCTGATGAACTTACTTCCTTAACCAAGATCCCTGCCTGCCTGCCGCCTGTCCTTGGTCAGTGATGGCTGGCCCCCACCTGCCTGTGAGACTCTGTAGATTTCCAGTTCATGCTTGTTCCTCCTGGAAAATGGCCCTGGCACAGAAGTGCCAGGACCCACTCAACCTACTTTAATATGGAAACTGAAGAATAGCTGTTTTGTTTCTTCTTCGCTGCCCAAGAAGGGTGGAATATAGTTCCCTTCTTCTCTTGGGAGTGTTAAAATGAAGATTAGGATCCTAGCCGGTTTGGCTCCGTGGATAGAGTATCCACCTATGGACTGAAGCGTCCCGGGTTCGATTCCGGTCAAGGGCACATGCCTGGGTTGTGGCTTGATCCTCAGTGGGGGGGGGGGGGGGGTGCAGGAGGCAGCCAATCAATGATTCTCTCTCATCATTGGTGTTTCTATCTCTTGCTCCCTATCCTTCCTCTCTGAAATCAATAAAAATATATATATTTTTTAAAAAAAATGAAGATTAGGCATTTCTTGTCCACAAATCAAACTTAATCAGGTATTTGGTATGCAATGATTTAGACTCTGGGTTTAACAGATTATCAGGGGCAACTGAGAAAGCATACAAAGAGAAAGGGGTTTTTATTGAGTCTATGGCGGGTGGGTAGGGGTTGGGGGGTAGTTTTTTGCCACATGGGTTTTGGTTATGGCCCAAACCCTGTTAAGGCATCCTGTTGCCTACCAGACAGAGTTCAAGCTCCCAGCCGGGTTTGTGGAGCCTCTGTGGCCTGCCTTTGTCCCTGCCCTCCTCTCTTTCCCTCCACGCCTCCCCCACTCTGTGTGGCCAGCTCCTGGCTGATGGTTGTGCATCTCAAGGCCAGGGGTCCTGTCTTTCCATTGCTGTGTGCTTGGTGCGTCCTGTAGCGCCTGGTGCTCAGCAGGGGCTCAGTAAATCTCTTCCGTGGGTATCGACGGGAAGTTGGGGTTTGAGGGAGACCCAGAAGGATTTTGATTTTCGACTACAAGAAGGGTCTTGAGCTGAAATTGGGCCGAGAGACTTTATTTGCTCAGAGGAAAGTGCCCCCTCCTTCACCTCATCAGTGGATTCCATGGGGGGGGGGGGGGTCACAAGGAGGCAGAACAGTCAGAGGTAGGCTCTCCGGTTACTCCTGTTCCAGCTGCAGCTGAAAGAAAACACCTGGAAGAGAAAGAAGGGCGAGTGGGTAGCAGGAGTGAGGGCCAAGATGGAGGAGCTTGGTGGGGTGCTCTGAGCATTTGCATCCAGTTGCCTGGAACCCTGTCCTGTGGTACAGGTTAGGCAACTCACACAGAGGGGAAAAAAAAAAAAAATCTTACGCCCTAACCAGTTCTGCTTAGCATCAGCCCGCAGACTGAAGAGCCCCGCCTTTGACTCTAGTCAAGGGCAGTATCTCGGTTATGGGCTGGATCCCTGGCCCGGTGTGGGGAAGGCAACCCATCGATGTGTCTCTCTCACATCGATGTTTCTCTCTCCCTCCTCCCTCCTTTCCACTCTCTCTACAAATTAATTAATTAATTAAAAAATTAAAAAAAAAAATCCTAGTTGATCTTTCCCTCACTTCCCCTGTGCCTACAGCAGGCGCCCAATCCCAGGGGGAGATGCTGGAGCCCCAATTGGGACTGGATCCTGAGCATTCTTTCTGCCATCTGGCCCCGGGAGCCGGCGGTGGCAGCACAGGGCCTGGGGCTGAAGGACCCCTTTACCTGAGGACTTGGCATAGACTGTCTTCTGGTCTCTGGTCTGGGTGATGCAGGACAGGTAAAGCTTCTGGTCCTCAATCTTGTCCACGCTGACATTTAGGACAGCCAGTGAGCCCACGGGGATCATGCTGGGAGAGGAGGTGGCTTAGCCCAGCCCTCCGGTGGACCCCCGGCCCTCACCCCCCCACCCTTCTGTCCCCATCCTTCTCTTCACCCCTCCCGGCCTCAAGCGGTGGCTCTGGGCTCAGGGCTGGCCTGCCAGCTCCCAGAGCAGATGGCAGGGGTGGTTTTCGGGCAGCGGGAGGGGAAGGAGACGGAGGCAGTGCTCCTCTACCTCAACTGCAGAAGATGGCCACCCCTCAGGACCATGATTTTGGCCAAGACTTACTTTTTGAACCTGATGCTGATACTGAGTGTTAACAGCCCCTCTCCAACCAGGTAGGCGGTTTTAGAAAAGGTCTCGTCCATCATGGTGGCCAGGGACCCTCCGTGGGCAAACCTGGGGGGGGGGGGGGAGAGCTGCGGGCTGGGCAGACGCTCCCTGGGCCTTCCCCAGACCCTGAGGTGGAAGCACCAGCTCTGCCTTCCTCAGGAAAGAGAAGGGGACAGAGCTGGATTCTATCTGATCAAATCCTTCTAAACCAACCTTTGCTCCTGCAGGTATTAGCAGCCATTGGACAATTATTTTATTTCGCCAGGAAGAAAGGTTTTGTGTGTTTTTTTTTCCTAATAGAGTTCGTTGAAAAGCGTTTTTTCCGATTCATCACCTAATTGCTGTAACCTATCTCCCCCACTGTCTAGATCAGTGGTTCTCAACATTTCTAATGCCGCAACCCTTTAATACAATTCCTCATGTTGTGGTGACCCCCAGCCATAAAATTATTTTCATTGCCGAAACCAGTTTGGCTCAGTGGATAGAGCGTCTATCTGCGGACTGAAGGGTCCTAGGTTCGATTCCGGTCAGGGGCATGTACATTGGTTGCGGGCACATCCCCGGTTGGGGTTGTGCAGGAGGCAGCTGGTCGATGTATCTCTCTCATTGATGTTTCTAGCTCTCTATCCCTCTCCCTTTCTCTCTGTGAAAAATCAATAAAATAACAAAACTTATTTTCGTTGCTACTGCTTAACTGTAATTTTGCTACTGTTAATGAATCGTAATGTAAATATCTGTGCTTTCTGATGGTCTTAGGCCACCCTGCTAGCAGTTCTCAACCTGTAGGTCGTGAACTAGAGCCACTGTTGTAGAGCCTAAGACCATTGGAAAACACAGATATTTGCATTACGATTCATTAACAGCAGCAAAATTGCAGTTAAGAAGTAGCAACGAAAATAATTTTATGGCTGGAGGTCACCACAACATGAGGGAACTGTACTAAAGGGACTCGGCATTAGAAAGGTTGAGAACCACTGGTCTCGGGGCTGGGTGGGTGCTTGTGAGACAATAGAAAATAGATAGATTGGTCTTTGCCCCCAATTCCTGGCACAGAGCTCCTGAAAGCCTTGTAATTCCAGGAGAGGGGGATCCTTTGTTAGACAGATGGCTCCTGGATGGGGGCTGGGCACCAGAAAGGCCAGGCCAGGACTGGACGCCTGCAGTGTTCTCCCATGCTCTTGAGGAGGGAGAAGGACTGAAAATGGAGTTAATGATCAATCTCGCCTGCGTGAGGAAGCCTCCATAAAAATCACAACCATGTGGAGGTCAAAGGGCTTCCAGGCTGGCAGACACACTCACACCCACTTCCCCCGAGACAGAAGCCCCTGTGCTCAAGGCTCCACATACCCCTTCATCTGGACGCTCACCTGGGTTCTTTTTCTTTTCTTTTTAAAAAAATATATTTTATTGATTTTTTACAGAGAGGAAGGGAGAGGGATAGAGAGTTAGAAACATCGATGAGAGAGAATCATCGATCAGCTGCCTCTTGCACACCCCCTACTGGGGATGTGCCCGCAACCAAGGTACATGCCCTTGACCGGAATCGAACCCGGGGCCTTTCAGTTCGCAGGCCAATGCTCTATCCACTGAGCCAAACCGGTTTCGACTCACCTGGATTCTTTATCCTCTCCTTGACTGAATGGGTAGACCTGTGTCCCGGAGTTCTCTGAGCTGGTCTAGTAAATTAATTCATCCCGAGGCAGGGGTTGTGAGAACCTCAGCTTTGTAGCCAAATCAGACAGAAGTTGTGAGGAACCTGGGGGACCTACTATTTGGGATTGGGATGTGAAGTGCGGGGAGAGGGGGGCAATCTGGTGGGACGGAGTCCTTCACCTGTGGGGTCTGACGCTACCTCCAGGTCAGAATTGGGTAAAGCTGTAGGATGCCAGCTGGTGCCCCAGAGAAGTGCTTGGTGTGGTCACACATTCGGTGACCAGAAGTATCAGCAGTGAAGTGTTCTGTGTGAATAGCATGCAGGAAAGAAGGAAAGAGAAGGAAAGAAGGAAGGAAGGAAGGAAGGAAGGAAGGCAGGCAGACACAATAGAGAAGAGCTGGGTATTTTCCTGCACAAAAGGTAGACTGAACTGGGTTTTTCTAATTCAGTAGCAATCTCTTCTCTGGACCCCCTCAGTGTTGGATGGTCCTCCTTGGCCTCTCCTGCCCCACCTCCATGAGCCCCTAAATAAAAGCCAGTCACCCCCCCTCCATCCCTGCCTTCTTGAGGTTTTCCTCTTCAGAAGGGAGGGGCTCCCTGACCTAGTCCTCCAGGGTCTGCATGCACAGGTGCGGGAACCAGTGTCTCCATGGAAGATGCCTTTGGGATGGCCCCGGGAACCGAGGGCTGCAGTCTGAGCCCACCACCCATGCAGGTGCTGGCATCTACTAAGCTCTCTGAATTCTTTTTAAATACAACCGAGTCCTTCTCAGGTCTTGGGACCCTACAGCTGCTCCTTACCCCTCCTTTCTCTCTCTCCTTGCAGGAACTCCAGCCCCACCAATAGCCTCTAGTGACTGTCCAAAGGGGGAGCAGGGATGGAAAAGGGCAGACAACTGTGGACTTGGTGGCCCAGTGGCCTTAGGCAAGACAGTTACTATGTGTCCAGAGTGAGTTCTTTCCTGGCTCTCTTCGGAGTTTGGAGGCAGCGGAGTACAACGGCGAGAGCAGTGGGCTTGGAGCCCCAGGGCCTGGACTAGATAGAGTTCTGCATCTGACCTTGGCTGCTTGTGTGTCGTTGGGCAAGCTGCTTCAGCTTGCTCGTGGGTAAAACATAGAGCGTAGATAGATGGTGTGTGACAGCTAGATGGTGCTTTATGGTTCCCGAGTACATGTACATAGACCCATCGTATTGTACCTCTCTGGCAGGTAGATAGCTTTGCCCCCGGTTTTAGGTAAGGAGACAGAAAGCCAGAGGTTAAACGGCCAGATTGGGGTCCCAAGGCCAGCAGGGGCGGAGCAGGACTGGAAGCCGGGGTCCTGATTCCAGATCTTGTCCACTTCTAAGTTCACCACATCCCTCTCAGAGTGGCCTCTAACTAAGGTGTCCGCTTTTGGTGGGACAGTCAGTCCAGATTTTTAACCATTTTCCCCGCGTCCCGTGGCGTTTTAAAAAAGTCCCGATTTTTGGAAAGATTGGAAAGATTCTTTCCAAAAATTGGGACTTTTTTAAAAACGCCTTAAGACGCTGGAAAAACTGTTAAGAATCTGGACTGTCCCGCCAAAAGCGAGGTCACCTTACTAAAATCCCTTACTGGAAAATTCCCCAACTCAGTAAGGAGGCTTCCGTCTTATCTCCACAATGGGACTGGACCAGGTGACCCGGATGTCCTTCCAGTCCAGGGCACCCCCATCCAGATCCTTAGGGAGAGGAACAATCCCCGACCCACCTGTCGAGCCAAGGCTAGGAGGCAGCCAAGGACGTCCACCTCGGCCCTCCTGGTGGTCTTACCCTGGGGGTCCCTCCAAGTAGGGGCCCGGCTGGAAAAGACAGACGGACTTCTTCTCGGACGGATTAAAGAAGATGACATGCTCGTAGCCTTGTCCTTCCACTTGGATGCTCCTGGTGATGATGCGGCTGTCACTTTTTTCTGGGGAGAGATGAGCAGTGTGGCAGCTGCAGAAGGGAGTGTGTGAGGCATGGGACCCAGGATGCAGTGCTGGTCATGCAGCACCAGGGTAGTCCCGAGTCAGGCACAGGGTTGAGGAGAGAACCAGAGGACACCCAGGCTCCACCATCCGAGACCAGAGGCACAGCCCTGCCCCCAGGGAGCCCTTGATCTGGAGGGAGAAACACTCAGGAATTCCCTGGTTGAGGGTAGGGATAGGATCAAGGTCAAGTCAAGACTTTAACAGACTTTTTAAACAGTAAAAAAACAAAACAAAAAAAACCCCCTAAAAACAGAGTTCATGTAATTTACATATAGTAATTCAAAATAACAAGAATGCAAAGTAAGTGTAGAAAAGTCCACCACAATTCTGATATTTTCCCTCCTCAAGACAACTACAACTATCTCCTTTTTGGATGGATACCAAATTCTTTTAAAAATTATTTTGGTGTCCCTGCTTTTTTTGTGCCATAAACCCAAACACGTAGTCTTTGTATTATACTGTGTACATTCATCACTGGGCAGGAAAATCATATTTATGAACTAGAGGCCCAGTGCTTGAATTAGTGCACCAGTGGGGTCCCTCAACCTGACCTGTGGGATCAGGTGGAAACCGGCTCTCATCCCCCGACAGGTCCCGGATTGCCAGAGGGTGCAGACCAGGCCAAGGAACCTCACTGGTGCACAGGCAGGGGAGCGATGCAGGAGGTTGGATAGCTGGAGAGGGATTGTGGGAGGGCTCCAGGGCATGTCAGCTGGACCCCAGCAGCAATCTAACCTACCTGTTGGAGTGTGTCTGCCACCTGTGGTCAGTGCACATCATAGCGAGTGGTTGAGCAGCCTTAGCATATCATTAGCATATTATGCTTTGATTGGTTGAACGGCCAACTGGTCAACCAGACACTTAGTATATTAGGCTTTTATTATATAGGATGAGCAAGACAAGAAAATATGGACACACATACAAGAAAGATGGATGTGGGGAGCTCTATTAATCTGACTGGTGGGTGTTTCAGGAGAGCCTGCCTGGGCCTAGCAGAGCATGGACGGTGGGCCAGGCCTGTGGTGGAGACGTTTTGAATTGGGGGGGGAGGGGGAGGGAGGAGGATTTGGGATGAGGCAGGGCAGAGGCTGAGCAGTCAGTTCTCCATTGCGGCCGCTAGGGTGCGCTCTCTTTCCAGATGGGAGGAGAGGATACTGTCACTGCCAGCCTGGGGCGGCAGCAAGAGGGGTGAGATTAGCAGAAAGAACTTTTGGCTGAGAACTGGATGGGAGCTTTTTGGTTTCCTTCCTCAGAATCTTTCAACCCAGAATCTGGCTGAACCAACTCCCCTGGGCTGGAACACCTGTGCTGCTGTGACCACTCAGGCCAGGCCTTACCTGGGGTATCGGCTAATTCGGTTGGGAGTTTGAGCCCGTGGATGTGTTCTCTGTTGGACTTGAAGGAGGGCAGTTTGATCCAGCCGTCGGTCTTGGTCTTCTCCAGAAATTCTTGGTACAGGCCCAGCATGTCGGGACACCAGCTGGCATTGGGAAGGGCAAAATCCTTAAAGTCTGTCTTCTCTGGGCAGAATCTTGAGATCTGGGTAAGAAAAATCAGGGAGACTAGACAGCTTCCTGGGGGTGGGGTGGTGACTGCTGCCTGGGAGGCAGGACTTCTAGGCAGGGTGCTCCTGCGTTCTTAGGTTCCTTAGGTTCCTCTACCAGTGCTGACTAGAGGGAAACACCCATCTTCCCTGAGGAGGGTTGACTGGGCAAGGGAAGGAAAGAAATTGGAACTGACTGTAAGGGAAGGACGTGCTGCTCGTGGTTTGTGCATTACAATTGTCCTGTTTTAAAACCCCGGAGCTAAAAACAACAAAACAAAACAAAACAAAACAAGCTGGAGAAGCTGCAGCAAGCTGGAGCGCCGGAGTAATGGAGGGGAAAGTCCCAGTGACATCTCTGAGAAGCGATCAGTGAAGAAGCTGCAGACCTCCCAGCAAAGCCTACAGGATCTCCACGTCTGGATTTGCCACAGTAGTCCGACGGCAAAGAAAACCTCAGCCATCTCCCTCCAACTTGGAGCAAGTACCGTATTTTCCGGCGTATAAGACGACCTTTGAAACGGAAAAAAAGTCAACCGAAAATCGGGGGCAAAAGACCAAAATTGCACAAAAATTACCTGCAGATCTTGACGGCAAAGTAAGTCTTTTCTTTGAAGTGGGGGGTAGTCTTATACAGCGAATATAGGCCTAAACCTATGTTTTAACTGTAAAATCAGAGAAACCGTCCCAGCTCTCGCTCCAAAAACCCTTCCGGCAGCAGCAGCTTTGAATGAAGATGGAGAGAGCGAAGCAGAGGAAGTGCCTCCGGAAGCAAAGATGAGGCTGAAGAACGGGAGGGGAACTCTAACCTCAGCAGGACCGACTCCTTGCTAGTATTAGTCCTCCCCCCCCCCCCCCCCGTAGAGATGGGGAAACCGAGGAAATATGGCTAAGGCTGCCAAGTTTGTGAGAGCTGATGGTCAGACTAGAGCCCATTCTGAGAGACAGTCAGGGGCCACTCCAGCTCTGCCCACAGCTGTGGGCCTGCCCTGGCAACAGGGTGGCTCCTTTGAAACAGGTTTTGGGTGCCCGGAGAGGTGGGTACCAACTGTGGGACGAGGGGTCTCCCATGGCATCCAGTGCTCATGCACCAACCACACCTGGGAGCAGTAAGCCCGGGGCTTGCCAAGACCACTCCTAGGGAGGGTCCTCCGTCTGGGGACGCCCCACCTTAGCTGCAGCAGCCCGAGTCTCATATGAAAGCGGTTTCATTGGTGGCCACATCAAATTCACACCGGGACGAAAGTTCTGGATGTAGGCTACTTGCTGTTCCAAGAGCATCTTCCCCTTGCCAAATCACATGGCTCCTCAGTACACTGGCCGGCTTCCCCAGCCACGGTCTGGGGAAAGGTTTGCTGAGGACCCCAGGAGAAAGGCTGTCCATCTAGCCGGGCTGGGAACTCACCCGGGAGGCCATGGAGGATCCAGACGCCGTGGCGGGGTTGCGGATGGGCAGGAGGCAGGGCGCGCCAGGAAGGGCTCTGAGGCGGCCCAGGGTGGCTGCTGCTCGGAAGCCTCGCCTCATCATGGCTGAGGCCGGGGATCCGGTCTGCGGAGCTGCTGGAAGCTCACCTGCAGCTTGGGCAGTGGGTGCAGCCCGCTGTGAGGCAGCCCACTCTGCTTTCTGTTGCAAGCTTTACTCAGCAAGCTTCCAGGGCAGGGGATTGGACAAGACCAAGCTGGTTTGAGTCAACACACCCATCTGTGTTGGAGGCCTCCTGCTGGCCCCAAGCCCCGCCCAGTGCTTGGGCAAGATGCTGCCTGGGCAGGAATGTATAGCAGGACAGGCTTAAGTTTAGAAAGAAATATGTGTTAAAGAAGAAAAAAAAAGGGGGGTGCCTAAAAAATAAGGTAGGGTACATGTCGACTTGGAGAGCTGCCCCGGAGTTTGGGGAGAGGACCCAAGAGAATTCCCAGAAAGATATGGGAGGGTGTCTGGTTTTTTAAAATTTTTTTTATTGATTTCAGAGAGGAAGGGAGAGAGAGGGTGAGAACAATAGAAACATCAACGATAAGAGAAAAATCATTGATCGGCTGCCTCCTGCACACCCTACCGTGGCGATCAAGTCCACAACCCGGGCATGGGCTCTGACTGGGAATTGAACTGTGACCTCCTGGTTCATAGATGGGATGCGCAATGACGGAGCCGGGCCAGCCAGGCGGGGATGGTGACTCTTGAGTGTAGGGTTTTGGTGGCACGTCTGTGTAGGAGGGTGTGTTTATGTGGGCTGTGCACCAGAAGCTCTGCTATGAGTCTGGGACTCCGAAAACCAATGCACCAGCCTTCATCATGCCCTTCTTTTATCCCAGACCAGGGTTGGCACCAGAAGCCTTCACCTGCTGGCCCTGGCAGGGACAGGTAGGGTGGAGTCGAAGACAAAAAAACACGTGGGAGGAAGCAGCTTAGCAAGGCCGCTCTGGTGCTATGGGAACCCAGGGAGGCGATGGTGGCGGCAGATAGCGCTGGGGGTGAGGGGGAGAGCGGGGCAATGGAAGTTGAGCCATTGCTAAGCTCGGAAAAGAGGAGGCTTGGAGTGGAGGAGGGGGGAGGAGTGCTTAGCCAGCATCTGCAAGGCTGTGGACTTTTTTTTTTTTTTAAATATATTTTATTGAATTTTTACAGAGAGGAAGAGAGAAGGATAGAGAGTTAGAAACATCAATGAGAGAGAATCATCGATGAGCTGCCTCTTGCACACCCCCTACAGGGGATGTGCCTACAACTAAGGTACATGCCCTTGACCGGAATTGAGCCTTTCAGTCCGCAGGCTGATGCCCTATCCACTGAGCTAAACTGGTTTTGACTGTGGACTTTTTGTGTGGTGCTTCCTTTTTTGAGTTAAAACTGCCAGTTTCTAGCTCACTAGAATAAAGCATATTCTACACATCAGAACTGTGCAAAGGGGGCATTATAATAGCCATGATGATATCTTGGTATCCGAAAGGCCAAACTGACATAATGTGGACCTTTACAGGTTTTGTCCCTAGAAGACTAGGAGAGATTTCCCTCACCCCTTAGGAGCCTCTGATGACACTTTGTTGAGGACTGGAGGAACCAGGTTTTTCTTGTTGCTCATCCTCACCCAAGGATAGTTTCCCACTGATTTTTAGAGATAATGAAAGGGAGGATGAGCTGCCTCTTGCACACCCTACAGAGGAAAGGAGAGAAAAATATCATCGTGAAAGAGAGACATCAATTGGTTACTGTCCGCTCATGTCTGGACCAGGGCCAGCAATCGGAGCATGCAACCCAGGTACATGCCCCTGACCACAACCAAACCCAGTAACCTTCAGTCTGCAGCCAATGCTCTATCCACTGAGCCAAACTGGCTAGGGCAGGATCCAGTTTTTTTGATAGCTTTGGGTTCTGGGTCTAAGCAAAAACATGTACATTAGTCATCAACATTGAAAAACAGAGTCTCATACCAAGCAGAAGGTCACAGATCTCCAGATAAGTGGAAAGGTCTGGCAAGGGGTGCATCTTCATTCCAATGTGGCGGCAGCTGGCTGGAGCTGACGGCCTGGGCCCTCCGGTTCACCCCAGCCCGCCCCACCCCCACCCCCACCTCCAGTTCTAAGTATTCCTTCCTCCCCTCTGCCAGCCTCTATGCGTGATTTTATATATATATATTTACTGTGTATGCAGGGTACTTTATTCTCCAGAGCAAACATGTCAAACTCAAAGACTAACCTGGGCCAAATAAACAAGGTTTATGTGGTTTATGTGGGCCAGAAAAAAAACACCAAAATACACACACAAAAAAAGTTTCCATTTTCATGGAAACGTAGATTTATTTAGAAAAGTATAGTATGAAAAAACAAAACAAAACAAAGAATAGGAGCACTGATAAAAATGAATGTTTTCTTCCTGACACTTGGTATCTCTTCTCTGCAACTGTCTTTCCTACTTGGGGGGAAATCTTGTTCTCAGTGATTGCTTTCAAAACTGACCCAAGGTGAATGTCAATAATTCTGGATCTGACAGGAGACTTGTTTCCTTTCATAATTGTAAATAACTGCTCACACCATTATATTGGCTGGGCCACAAAAACATTCACTTCTTCAATGGGTTGGGCATGGGCCTATGCCCCCATATGTACAGAACTGAATACAGCGGGTCTCTGAGAAGAAGTCTGATTTATCTGGATGTGGAAAGGGAGATGGCTTAGTCCAGTGCTGGCTCCAGTGGAATGCAGGGAGATAAGGCGGCTCTCAGGGTGGTTCTCTCAAGGTAGGGGATGCCTGCAGGGCTTGGAGAGCCTTCGCTACCACATGTCATCTGACACCTCGAGCCCAGGCAGGAGCCCCTGAGGCAAGAGGGCTTACTCTAGCCAATGTCCTTTTCACCAGCCCTACATGGTCTGGCTCCATGGGAAACTGGGCTGTGCTTGCTCAACAGTATAGCTCTCCCTCATCTTCATCCAATGGTGGTTCTGGCAAATGAAGCCCAGGGCTGCATCCGGTCCTGGATACTGGCAACTACATCTTCTCCATCCCCCACTGGGGCCAGTTCAGGATCTTGGTTCAGGGACTGGTAGGAGTTGCCAGCTGGGCCTGCCCCAGTTTCCTCCTGCTCTTCCTCAGGATCCTCACTGCTCCCATCCCCAGTGCCTTCAGTGCGGCCCTGGTGCAGCCCCAGCTCCTCAGTCTGATTGGGGCCCCATGGTGTCTCCCCCTAGAACTACTGCTGCCATCCGGGCAGGGGCCGCTCAAAACCCGTGTTCGAACCCACACCTTCACTTCCGGCGGGACAGCTGTGTGTGATTCTTTCTTTTTTTTTTTTGATGGAAAACTAATTTATTGGTGGGTGTAAGGTGGGGGCAGCACCAAGACTCTCACAAGTGCAGGGCTCGCCATTTGTCCAGGGGACCGCGATTGGGGATGTATTTGACTCCAGAGCCATCAGGAATGAGGCGCTTCTCGGCCACCATGTCTTCAAACTCATCCGCGTTAAACTTAGTGAAGCCCCACTTCTTGGAGATGTGGATCTTCTGGCGACCAGGGAACTTGAACTTGGCTCTGCGCAGGGCCTCAATCACATGCTCCTTGTTCTGCAGCTTGGTGCGGATGGACATGATGACTTGGCCAATGTGGACTCTGGCCACTGTGCCCTGGGGCTTTCCAAAGGCACCCCACATACCCGTTTGGAGCCTGTCAGCCCCAGTACAGGACAACATCTTGTTGATGCGGATGACGTGGAAGGGGTGGAGTTGCACTCGGATGTGAAAGCCATCTTTGCCACAACTTTTCACCATGTACTTGTCGGCACAAATATGGGCAGCCTCCAGTGCTTCAGAGGACAACTGCTCATATTCGTCAGACACCATGTGGCCACAGAGTGAGAACTCATCCACTTTGGCCTTCTTCCACCCCAGGTCAAAGATGCGGATCTTGGCATCATGGACACCTCGGCAGAAGCGAGACTTTGGGTACAGCTTGTTCTTACAATACCGGTAACACCGGGTGGGCGGCAACCCATGGCGACACCATGATCTTCAGTGGCATGCCAAAGGGAACTATGTGTGATTCTTGATTTGGAAGATGGGACTCAAGGAAGAGACAGGAGAGAAAGGGGGAGTCTTAGAAAGGGCAGATGGACAGAGAGGGGTCTGAGGAAAAGAGAGCGAGGACGGTGGCCCCTGAAGGCGGGGAGCTAATCCCAGAAAGGTTGCCGGGGGGGGGGGGGGGGGGGATGCAAGGGCTGTTCTTCCCGGTATGTAGCTGCAGCTGGGAAAGGGAATTTCATTCCATTGCCTCAGAGCCACGTGGGAGCTGCCTCACGGCCCTTGCACGGCCAGACTTTCTTTGCAAATCGTACGTCCCAGTGGGATCTCCCGCTCTTGGTGCCTGACTAGAGGCAGATGTTGAGTTTGGGGGTTTCATCTTGCTGGGATATTATGCACCCCAACCGGGGATCAAACCCGCAACCTGGGTATGTGCCTTGACTGGGAACGGAAACTGCACCCTTCTGGTGTACGGGATGACCCTCCGGCCCCCTGAGCCACAGAAGCTGGGCCGCAAAGGGGTTTTTGCCTCATCCCCTGTTAAGGTTTTGGGCCTTGGTCCTGGGGGGGGGGGGGGTAATGAGGGAGCTGAGGAAGGACAGAAGCCCAGCCTCAGACTAGCGACCTGGGGAAGAGGCTGTCTTCACCGAGCCTGGGGCACGGGCTGGAGGCAAAGGATGTGGTTGCTACGGGCTCTGCCCAGAGGGCCTTGGGGTACCCAACTGGGAGGACAGGACTGGTAAGCAGGGGTGATCCCTGGGCTAATGGAGGGGGCGTCCCAGCAGAGAACAGGGGCAGAGAATGTGCCAGGACTGAGGGGACCCTGAGCTCCCCTGGAAATGGGAGAGCACCTACTACAGCTCAAATGGAACCGAGTTCCTATTTGTGAAACACAAAGAGGCAGAAGCAAGACCTCTAAGCTCAGAGAGCGACCAATGCTGAAGTGTGTGTGTGTGTGTGTGTGTGTGTGTGTGTTTACACACTCAGGGCGGGGCTCACAGGCCCTAGCCAATGTCCTGAAATCCCTTTGTCTTCAACCCAATGCCCTTGTCTTCAACCAGACAATCACTTGAGAGGTGGTTTCTCCAAACCAATGAGATGGCCACATGGTGCCAATGGCACACCTGCTTTACCAGCCTGGAGTAGAAAGTTAAGTCGAATCATTTTAAAAGCATATGAAGTGACTACCACCTGATCTCCTGAGCCTCTTCACCCCCTGAGAACTCTGGAACCAGGTGCTACTAACTGTGCACCAGGTTAAGGACCAAGCTCACGAGCCCTCCCAGAAAGGTGACCCTTGTTCCTTTTCTTCGGGGCCGTGGGCATGCTGGGAGTGGAGCGTGTGTCCACATGGGGTGATCAGATGGGCACAGAGCCAGGACCTGTGGCCCTGGAGGTGCATCGGTCTTGCTGCTGAGTCACAGGAGGGGTAGGTGAGGTGAGGGCCTGTGAGGGCAAGTCCTCAACAGGCTGTGGGAGCACCACCACCAGGTCTTAGGAGCAGGCGAAGGGAGATGCTGGCTAGGTGATGGCGCAGCTCCCAGGTGGCGCCTGGAGGAGTTTCTGAACCTTGTTCCTCACAGAGGAGCCACCCAGGGCTCTTCCGCCTCCAGCCCCCACCCCTGTGCTTCCCAAGCAAGGAGCGCTCTCTCCCTCTCTCTCTCTCTCTCTTTTAAATATTTCTTTATTGATTTCAGAGAGGAAGGGAGAGGGATAGAGAGATAGAAACATCAGTGATGAGAGAATCATTGATTGGCTGCCTCCTGCATGCCCCCTATTAGGGATTGAGCCCACAACCTGGGCACGTGCCCTTGATTAGAATCGAACCTGGGACCCTTCAGTCCGTAGGCCAACGCTCTCTCCACTGAGCCAAACCGGCTAGGGCCCCTCTCCTTTTGGGGGCAAATTTCCCTGCTACGTGCCCTATAGTCACCCTTCTGCACCTCCTATCTCCCTAGACAGTCCTCAGACCTCCACTGAGATGGGTGGAGGGGCCATCTTTCTTTCAAGATTCTTCTTACCTTTCACAAGAATTCCCAGAGCCCCAAACACAGGCTGGAATGGTTAGCGTCTGCAAAAACAGTTCTTCCTCCCTGGGAGCTGGTAGGACTGTCTTCATACCTCTGGGGAATGAGAGCAATTTTAGCATTCCATTCTTTGAGTGGTGTGGCAAGATTAAGTTTCCTGTTGAACTGACCATGGATTCCTTGTTGGAAGCAGAGCTGTTCAGGGGTATCTGGCTCGGGGGGCTCTACAATAGGCTCTGTCCATGAAGACAGAGGAAGAGCCTTCTAGGAGGGCATTCCCCTGCCACCCCCCCCCCCAAATTCTAATGTTGAAACCCTAATGTCCAATGTGATGGTACTAAAGGTGGGGTCTGTGGGAGATTCTTCCTAATGAGGATGGAGCCCTCATGAATGGGATTAGTGCCTTTATAAAAGAGGACCCAGAGAGATCCTAGCCCCACCCCTTCCTCCATGTGAGGGTACAATGAGAAGGTGCCAGCCATGCACCAGGAAGCAAGCCCTCAGCAGACGGGGCCATGCTGACGCTCTGATCTTGGACTTTCCAGCCTCCAGAGCCATAAGCATTAATTTCTATTGTTTATAAGCTAACCATTCTGTGGTATTTTGTTATAGCAGCTGAATAGATTAAGACACACAGGAAACAAAACCAGGCTCCTTCCAGTGATGAGAAACTATGCTGTTGGAAAGACACAATTGCACACCTATGTTAAAGATGGCACAGTGGTGGTATCCTTAGAATCCAAGAGAAACGAACTGAGGAATCTATTCCTATGGGAACGAATTGTGTTTCCTACTATAGTAAACAAGATTTTGTTTTATTTTAAAATATATTTTTATTGATTTCAGAGAGGAAGGAGGAGGGAGATAGGAACATTAATGATGAGAGAGAATCATTGATCGGCTGCCTCCTGAATGCCCCCCACTGGGGATCAAGGCCACAACCTGGGCATGGGCCCTGACCAGGATTCGAACCATGACTTCCTGGTTCAAAGTCAATGCTCAAACACACTGGGTGGGCTCAAAAAGATTTTATTTATTTATTAATTATTATTTTTTAAATACATTTTTATTGACTTCAGAAAGGAAGGGAGAGGGAGATAGAAACATCAATGATGACAGGGAATCATTGATCAGCTGCCTCCTGCACGCCCTTCACTGAGGAACAAGCCCTTGACCGGAATCAAACCTGGGACCCTGCAGGCTGATGCTCTATCCACTGAGCCAAACTGGCTAGAGCTCAAAAAGATTTTAGACACAATAAAATTAGCTTTGGAATTTACAAATCATGAATGCACACATTAGACACACATGCATATATGCATGCACGTATTGGTTTTCTGGAGTTTCCAAGTTTGCAGCTATCACCTTAAGGAGTCCATTCAAATTGCAAGAAAAACATCTATTCTAAGCACACAGCAATTCTGAGTGCTGAGATTCTCATAGGAAGTGCTTCTGTGTTAGGAAGTGTAGAAGGTGGAACAAAGCTCCTGGAGTTATATTCAGAAGACTGTTCGGGAAGGCAGTGTCAGCAGGCTTCACCGTATGGGAGATCATAGTGGGCAAGCAGAGCAGGACTGGGGAACACAGCCTCTTGTGGAGAACAGAGAGCCTTAAGCAGGTAGAGGATTCAACACAGCTTCTTTTAAGTCATACTTTTTTTTTTTAGGCTCCAGCATTATAAATAAGCCTAAATGAACAAACAACAACAACAAAAAAAAACAGAAGATGATTATAAGTCAACTGACTTCAACTTGATGGGACTTTTCTAAGTAGAAATATATATTTAAAGAAAGGCATTTATAGATTCACATTTGTACCTTCAGCCTATCTTATTTTTCAGCCAAATTAAGAATCAACTTTTGATTATATCAATATTGTATTATCTTCCCTAGGTAACCAGATCCTCTACCACTTGGTCATTTCATGGTTCATTACCACTTCCATTAGAGAGAGTCAGGGAAGTGAAAGGAAGTACAATCACAACCAGGCCATCTGGTACCTTTAGGTTACTGAAAGATTTAATAAGATGGGAAGTATAAACCACAGCCTGGAATGGAGTTTTTAAATTGATTATTGATTCAAATTATTTATGATCTTCCTCCTGCTTCTTTCACCCATCATTCCTGCAAATAGGTGATGCATAGGGGGAAAATTAATTTCTTAAACAAAAAGCATTAACCATTAAAAAAAAAGTTAATAAATATGACTATATTAACATGAAAAACTTTTGTTCAGAAAAAATACTTCTTAAAGAAAATAAAAAACAACTTATATACTAAAAGGAGATATATGCAGTTTATGTATCCAATAAAAAGAGTAGTTTAATGTAAAATAATAAATGTAAATCAGAAAAAATGAAAAAAATAATAATAAAAGAGGCTGAACAAACAGGAATGCCCCAGAATGGGAAACAAATATGGTCAATAAGTATATGAAGTGCCAAAACCGGTTTGGCTCAGTGGGTAGAGCATCGGCCTGTGGACTGAAAGGTCACAGGTTTGATTCTGCACCTGAGATTCCTTACAATAAAAAATACAAACAAACAAAAATATCTGGATATCTAAATCTAAATCTTTTTTTTTTTTAAATATATATTTTATTGATTTTTTTTACAGAAAGGAAGGGAGAGAGAGAGCTAGAAACGTGGATGAGAAACATCGACCAGCTGCCTCCTGCACACCCCCTATCGGGAGTGTGCAACCAAGGTACATGCCCTTGACCAGAATCGAACCCAGGACCTTTCAGTCTGCAGACCTAAGCTCTACCCACTGAGCCAAACCGGTTTCGGCTAAATCTGTCTAAATCTGAAGGGGATAAAAGTGAGGCTTCAAGGGTCCCATACCTGCAGAGATGAGAGCAGGGGGTTACACAATGCTTAAGGATGCAGTTGGGGAGCATTTCAATGTGAGCATGTCTAACAAACTGCTATAGAGATCCCAGAAGGAAGGGACCTGCATCTCCAAGACACCAGTAATATGTTGTGATTTCTTTTCTCATGTAAAATAAGAAAACTAGCTGGGTGCGTGGGAGGACACTCCACCCAGCTGAGCCACCCAGCCAGGGCCCACAGTACTTTTTTATGGCACACACAATATAGTTTATGGATGACCTGTTATCTTTTTAATCAGTCCCTATCTATGGATGCCGGTGTTTTTGCCAAATCTCGTGCTATTCCAAATAACGTTGCATAAACAACACACTTACTGGGACCCTAGAGCAATCGCATACATTGAGATTTTGCACAAGTTAGTACACTTGTGGGATTACGTCCTGGAAATGGGTCAAAGGGGATAAATATATATATATTTAATGCTGTAATTTTGAGAAATGTTGGCAAATAGCTCCCTATTGGCACGTGTATGGAATATCTTTAACTTATTATTTGAATGACAGGAAATTAAAAATTTCTGGACATGTATGGCTCATAAAACCAAAGCAAAAAAGAAAACAGCCGAAACCAGTTTGGCTCAGTGGATAGAGTGTTGGTCTGTGGACTCAGGGGTCCCAGGTTCGATTCTGGTCAAGAGCATGTACCTTGGTTGCGGGCACATCCCTAGTAGGAGGTGTGCAGGAGGCAGCTGGTGGATGGTTCTCTCTCATCGATGTTTCTAGCTCTCTATCCCTCTCCCTTCCTCTCTGTAAAAAAGAAACCACACAAACAAACAAACAAAAAAACCAACAATCATCAAAACAACAACAAAAATAGACCCCGAAAAAAACCCTCACTCAAACAAACCCCCCGAAGGAAAAACACCCAAACCAAACCAAACCAAACCAAAAAAAAGGGAGTGGCGGCTCCTTACTTGTTGCCTCTGTGTATAGGATCTTCTCATCAATACTTTGAACTTTACAGGACACAAACAGTTTCCTTCCTTCAATTTTATCAAGTTGGCTATTTACCAAAACAGTAGAACAAAGGGGGATAGGACTGTAGGAGAAAAAAGAAAAAAAAAGGAAAAAAAGATCAGTTTTTATCAGAGTTTTGTAACATTCAGAGATGATCAAGTGAACGGTACCTGATGTCCACCTGATGTCCGTGGTGTGACTGCCCTAGATAAAACATTCCTTAAAGAGGCTGATCTGACTCCTGCTATTGCTACTGATGAGCTTACTGCCAGTGCAATGGTGCCCCCTTGCTTCTAAGAAACATGACTGCTCTGTAATGGATACCCTTGTATCTCTTGTTTTTTAAAGATTTCTTTGCCTTCCGTATTCTTTAATTTCTCTGTAATATATCCAGATATGAATTTATTTTTATTGATCTTGCTTGATATACGTTGTGCTTTCTGTGTCTGTGGGCTCGTGGTTTTCTTTAGTTCGAGAATATGTTCATCCATCCTCCCTCCAAATACTGGATCCCTTCCATTCTCTCTACTCTTCTTCAAGGACTCTGAATAGATCACCTTATAAATTTAATCTGTCCTCTATAGCTTAGCCTCTATTTTATATTTTCCATCTCTCTCTTTTTTTTTCTTTGTGCTGGATTCAGGGTCATTTCTTCAGCTCTGTATTTCTGTTCACTTTCAGATGTGTTTAAATAGCCCTTTAACCCATCAACTGAGGGGGTGCTTGTTTTTAAACAATTGCATTTTCATTTCTAAAAATTTTAATTGCTGTGGCAAATCTGCTTAACAATGCTTAATAATTTTTATAGTTTCTTGTTGCTTTCTCTTTTTGTGATTTAATCTTTTATTTCTTTAAACATCTCATACACAGTTCTGTTATACACTGTATCTGATTATCATATCTTAAGTCCCTGAGGATCTAAATATGTTATTAATTGTTTCTTGCTGATTCTCACTTATGGTGGTTTGTTTCCTTGTTAATTTGACACAGGATCTAATTGTTAGGAAAGGGAATTGTCCTTTGGAATTTCGTGTCTGCATGCTGCATGAAAAAGCCTAATCCAGAGCTTCCCAACCAATAAGCCATGGATGGGTTAGCAAAATGCTGAGATATTGATCTTGCAGCTGGCTGGCCACCACTAATCATTAGCTGCTTTGTCTATTTGTCTTAATAAGTTTATCTTAATGTGCTAAGCATGAGGAAATACATTAAGATACTAAAGGCCATACATGAAAAGCCCACAGCTAATATCACCACACTCCATGGTGAGACACTGAATGCTTTTCCTCTAAGATGAGGAAAAAGATAAGTATGCCCACTTTTGCTATTTCTATTCGGCACAGCACTGTAAGTCCCAGCCAGAGCAATTAGGCAAGGAAAAAAGGCATCCAAATGTTCACAGATGACATGACCTCGTATATAGAAAAACCCAGATTCCACAAAAATCTATTAGAATAAAGGAATTCAGCAAAGTTGATATAAAATCAACACACAAAAATCAGCTGCATTTCTATACGCTTACAATGAGCAATTTGAAAAGAGAATTAAAAAAAACCCAAAAACAATTTAATTTATGGTAGTAGCATCAAAACTAACATACTTAGGAATCAATTTAACCAAGGAGGCCAAAAACTTGTACACTGAAAACTGCAAAACAATGCTAAAGGAATTTAAAAATACAAATAATTGGAAAGACATCCTGTGCTAATGGGTTGAAAGACTTAATAATTTGAAGAAGCCCACAGTACCCAAAGTGAAATATAGCCGTGAGGTCATCCGGCTCACCCTGGCACATGTGTAACTGTCTAACATTTTTCTGATCTTTAGCACCATTCTCCATGGATAGGAATCAGGGATCTTTGTAGCTATTCCTTGCCCTGGCACAGATGTGCCTTGTTGCTAGAAGTAAAAGTAACGATTACAACAATAATGTTAATAATAATAATAATAATAATAAGCTGCTAACACTTACTGAGTACTTGTTATGTGGCCAGATACTGTCCTAGTTTACATGAATTGATTCATTTACTGCTCACAATGAGACATGCCTGGGAATGTATGGTCCCCGGGGTAGATTTCCCTATGACTTAGCCTCTGACTTATGTGTGAGAGATGTGAAGTCTCCAGTTCCCTTACCTGAGGTAGGGGCATTTCTGAGGCACACGTTTCACTCCAAAGTTCCGTGTGGGACTGGGAGCGCAACCTTCGGTGGCTTCTTCCCCTTCCCTGTCCTGTTTCTCCCACTGCCTCGCTAGCTTTCTTCCAGGAGCACCACCTTAATGCTTATTTGCACACACATCTTTGTCTCGGGGTCGGCTGCTAGTAAACCTGACCTATGGACACCTAAGAAGTAGAGAATACCCGTGAATTTACCTTTTAAAATTGATGTTGAGATTGGCAGTCATGACAATTCCCCCAGATACAATTGCATTCATACCAACAGTAGCATCAATTATGGTGGCAGTGGCACCTCCATGAAAGAATCTAGTTATAATGAGGGAAAGAGAAGTGTTTTGAAAAAGTCTGAAAAGAGAGAGCGTTGTAAGGGAGAGGAAGATTATCCAAGCATCTCTGTATCATTTGCTTAAGAAAGGTCCACTTTGTCCATGTTCAGTGTATTGAATGTCAACTATCCATGTCCCCAACCGTACTGGGTTCATACCACAATAGTGTAGTACTTATGATAAACCAGGTAATCAGATCACAAGCAAGCAAAAAGTTAAACTATCATTTAGAAAAGTCATATTTGCATTAAACTAACTCTACACATCATTGTGTAAAAATTTAGGAAATGTAGGTAAGCAAAAGAAAATGAAAAATAAATAAAAAATGATGAGGCCCTTTAGAGACAAGTCACTGTTAACATGCCAATGATACTCTCTCAGTCAAATAATACTCTACTTTTGCATGAAGATTTGTGCAATAGACCTTCCTTCCCTTGGCTGCTGGCACTGGTTTTCTTCTGGCACCCGGGACCCAGGCCTTCGTGGCGGCTGCAGCAGAGAAGCCAAGCCTCGAGGCCCTGGCCTGAGTGAAGACTGAAGACAACAGAAGACTGAAGACTGAAGAGGCTTGGCTTCTCTGCAGCAGCTGGATCAAGAGATGCCTTGAGGCACCTCGAGGGTAGGCTTCTCTGTTCGGGCAGCAGCGAGGCTTGGCTTCTATGTTTCTGCTGCAGCGGAGAAGCCAAGCCTCAAGGCTTCTCTGCTCCAGCTGCTGCAGAGAAGCCAAACCTCTTCAGTCTCCAGTCTTCATTCAGGCCAGAGCCAGAGCCAGAGCCTTTGCTCTACGTCTGCCCATGTAAATAAACCCGGCAGCTTTTTGTTGGGTTAATTTGCATGCTCACTCCTGATTGGCTGGTGGGTATCACAGAGGTATGGTCAATTTGCATATTTCTTTTATTAGTGTAGATTGCTTTATGTCTCCTATGCTTTTGTATTTTATTATAAACATCTTTCCATGTCAATAAATGTCTCTACATCACCATTTTAATGCCTTCATTCTAGTCCATGAACACACAGGGATAATGTAAAATAACACTCTTTTAGACCCACATTTTTAGGCCGTCATTCTTACCCAGGCATTCCTTGCAGGTGAGGACCTCCTTGAAACACACAAACTATCCTTTTCTCAGCCTCATTATAGAACATCACATATTCAAAGCCCATGCCATCCTCGAAGCCTCTGGTGAAGAGCTGGGCCTGCGACAGTTTTTCGTTTATAACCTCGGAGGCTGAAGGGAAATAAGCTGGATGGGCACATGAGAAACATGTATGAGAAAGATGCCATCACAGAGAAGTGCTGAGACTATGGGAGGGTGGAGGTTCTCTGGGGTCTTTTGTTCACTCCTGCTAATGGTGATGAGGATGCCAGCGGGAGGCAGTCTTATTCTTGACAAAGCTTTATGCCTTCCCACAAACTAGAAAATTCATTGAGATTTCCTGGTCTAGAAAACTGGAGAATATAAAAACCTCTGCAAAACACTTTTCCCCTTTTCAAGTGGTAACTAGTGCTTCAATCTGTTCTTAGTTTTATATCTGATATTTAAATATTCTCTTTAAAAGTATGTCTTTATTGATTTAAGAGAGGGAGGAAAAGAAGGCGGGGGTGAGATATATATCAAGAAATATTTATGTGAGAGAAAAACATCCATCAGCTGTCTCCTGCACAGCCTGTACTAGGGATCATGCCTGCAACCAGGGCATGTATGTGCCCTGACCAGGAATCAAACCAATGACCTTTTGGTGTATGGGAGGATGCAACTGAGCAACACCAGCCAGGACAATATTTAAATATTCCTTGTGGGAGAACTGCTGTTCCTACCATGAATAAAGGCTGAGAAGTCTTGACTCCTTTGAGATGATATATGCTCATATGAAGGCAACTGTATCCAGGAGCCATCTTCACATTTCTTCGTGAACTGGTCAAAGAGGCGTCTCATGTCCTTGCCCCAGCAGGGTTTGGGGAGAAAATGGTCCTTATCAAGGACTTTCTTAAAAGAAAGCAACCTCTAAAAGAGAAGAAATAGAAGAGTAATGGGAGGTGCAATCTATGTCATAACACATTCGCTTTTTTTTTTTTTTTTTAAAGACTATTTTGCTGCTTTTCCTTTTCGCAAAAGCTTTTCATTTCAGAGTGGAAGCAAATTGCAAGGATAATCTGGTCCAACCTCCCTGGGAAAAATGAAGATTGTGAGAGGGTAAATGGTTTGCTCAGTGTCACCCAACTAGCTACTGGAAGAGTCAGCATCAAGCCTGATTTCAGAGAGGAAGGAAGGAGAGATAAAAACACCAAAGAGAGCCCTAACCGGTTTGGCTCGGTGGCGATAGAGCCTTGGCCTTCGGACTGAAGGGTCCCAGGTTCGATTCCGGCCAAGGGCATGTACCTTGGTTGCGGGCACATCCCCAGTAGGTGTGCAGGAGGCAGCTGAATTGGTGTCTCATCGATGTTTCTCTCTATCCCTCTCCCTTCCTCTCTGCAAAAAATCAATTAAAAAAAACATCAATGAGAGGAAATCATTTAGCAGTTGCCTCCTGCATGCCCCACACTGGGTATCCAGTCTGCCACCCAGGCATGTGCTCTGACCTGGAACTGAACTGTGACCTCCTGGCTCAAAGGTCCATATTCAATCCACTGCGCCACACAGACCAGGCAGGACACTTTTTTTTTTTTTTTCTTTTTGAAAAAAAAATATATTTTATTGATATTTTACAGAGAGGAGGGAGAGAGATAGAGAGCTAGAAACATCGATGAGAGAGAAACATCCATCAGCTGCCTCTTGCACACCCCTTACCGGGGATGTGCCCGCAACCAATGTACATACATGCCCTTGACCGGAATCGAACCTGGGACCTTTCAGTCCGCAGACCGATGCTCTACCACTGAGCCAAACCGGTTTCGGCCACTTTTTTTATTTTTATTTTTTATTTCACATTTCTTCCAAATCAAGTGAATATTGAATACACCAATGAAATAAAACTTAGTGGTATAAGGAACAGCGATATGAGGCAATATTTATTTATTATTAATGCCAGGCACTGTGTTAAAAAACAACAACAACAACACTTTGCTTGTATTATCTCCTTTAACTCCTCTGAGGAACCTGGCTTGGAGAGGGTCTGATTACCTGACAGGCAGAGAAAAGGAGGATTAAGCCTGGGGAAGAGAGGGTGCTCACCGCAGGCTGCCGAGGCAGTCCCAGGGCAGCCCTGCCACGTGTTTCCGGTGTGACCTTGTGTGAGTAACCTGACCTTCCTTCACTCGGGTCAGTGATGGGGGAAGTCCTTCACGCACACACCGGAGTCCAGTGTCCTGCGCGCTTCCAGTCCCCTTCCTAACGGTCCCATCCTGCGGCCGGGGTGTGCCTTTCCTCTGAGGCCATTGGGCTGAGCTCATGCCTACACAGCTCAAGGCGTGGGTCCTGGACAGAAAGCCCCGCCACAGCGCCCGCTTCTCCGCCCCGGGGATCACTCACCCGCGAGAGGCCGAGGCTCCTGGCCGGCGGCGCGCCCCCCCGCAGGCCGCGCAGGGCCCCGAGCGCGCGCGCGGCGCCGCGCCCCAGCATGGCTCCGAGGGCGGCGAGGACCCGGCCCGGCCCGCGGCGACCGCCGACTCTCCCGGCTGCCCCCCGGCTCTTCCCCTTACAGCCTGGGGGAGGGGGCGGGGCCTGGCGCGAAGACCACGTGCTCGCGAGGGGCGGGATTGGTCCCGCCCCGTCACGCCCCTGCGGCACAGCGACCCCTGGCGCCTGCGCGTTGCGAGTGCAGGAGTCGCCGTCATTCCTCCCGCTCCCTCCGCGCCCCCACGGAAGGCCCTTGGACGGGTGGGTAGGAGCACGCTCAGTGCATTGCAGGAATGAAGTGTTTCTTTGCAGGCGGACCCCGGGATCGGGTTGGTATTGGCTTACGGAGAGCTTTCTGGGTGCAAACAGTAAATGCTTAAAAATACCCTTATCTACGGCTCCACGCCCCAGCCCTCCGGTACACACACCCTGAAACCTTTCCGCAGAGCCCAAAGTCCTTAAGTCAGGCTTTTCCAAATAGAAATAGAAATCGCAGAACATCTGAAGGATGTGTTGCCTCTGGCTCTGGAGACGAACCTGAGTTAAGCTTCCCCTCCACCCCTTAACACCTGTACAGATACTTCAACTGCACCCGGCCTCTGCTTACTCTTTTGTTTGTTGTGAGGACGAAAAAAGAATGTATATCCGCCCTTACTGTTGCCACGACCTTCTCTTTCAGTGGGAATCACGAAGTTGGAAGTTACCTGGCCTTATTCTATGTCCTTTACAAAGAAGGTATGCCCAGAAGCTGGCTTGTGCCCTGACTCAGAATTGAATTTACAACCTTATGACACTCCAACCAGCTGAACCAGCCCAGCTAGGGCTAATCTGGTCTCATTTTATTGCTGCCTGAGCCTTCCTTTATATTTCTTATAGTGTAGTTTCCAGTGAGTTCTTGTAGTCTGAAGTGTGGTAATGTATTCTTCTCAGCTTTCCTGTGTTTGAATATGTCATTATTTTGCTATCACTTTTGAGAGATTATTGCTAAATTTAGGATTCTGTGTTGACAGAATTTTCTTTCAGTATTTTAAAGATATTCCTCTACTATATTATCACTTGCATTATTTCTGGTAATAAATCTGATGTCACTCTTATCTTTAGCTATACACTAGAGGCCCTGTGCACGAAAATTTGTGCACTGGGAGGTGGTGGTCCCTCAGTCCGGCCTGCCCCTTCTTACAGTCCCAGGAGCCCTCAGGGGATGTCCCACTGATGGTTTAGGCCCTCTCCCCATGTGTAGCGAGCCTAAGCCGCAGTCTGGCCTCCCTCTGAGGGAGGCGACTGGGCTGATCAAGGGAAGGTGCCTCTCCCATCATCCTGTTGCTGCTGCCACTGCCACTCTGCCGTGGGCCTCACAGCCCTGGGCCTCACAGCCACTGGGGCTCAAGGCTGCTGTGATCTCTAGGCCTCGCAGCCACTGTGGCTTTGTCCGGAAGATGTCTGCCCTAATTAGCATAATACCCTTTTCAGGTTTTCCCAAAGTGTGGTACGCGTACCCCCAGGGGTAGGGGAAGAGTTTGATGGGGGTACGCTTTGCACCGGAGTTTGGTGGGGATATGCACTGCACCGTGCTTAGCTGTGCCTAATTCTATGTTCTCATGAGTACGAGGGGTACTCAGCGTTACGAAAATTATAGAAGGGGGACACATATGTCAAAAGTTTGGGAAACACTGAAGATGAGCTACTTTCTTCCTCTGAATGCTTTTGCAATTTTATTTTTATCATTTTTTTCCCATTTGGTTTTGATGTGACTCAAATGAACCATGAACATACAAGAATTTTGAGTTGCTTTCAAACTTATATTTCCTGATTAGAAATCTAGAGATTGGATGTCTCCTTGTGCCACACCCTACCCACCTCATCTAGGTAGCAGATACTCTTAAGTTTTTCATGTAAGCCAGTGGTCTCCACATTTTGTTTTTTGCTAGCATACTCTTAAAATAATTCTGAAAAATTTTATATCCTTATACATATTAAAGTTGATATGTAAGATTCTCCTCATAAACTTAAGTATTGTAAGGTTCATCATCTTTTTGTGACTTGTATAATGAATACGCACTTGCAATTTATTTTCATCAAAATGTTGGGGCTGCAGATTTAGCTCATTCAAGTTTTGGAAAATGCTCACCCTATGAATTCATGGCGAAATCAATCCTCACTGGAAAAACAGTCAAATTGGAGTTTCTATTAGAAAAAGTCTGTCTTTTTCCCCCCATCTTAAATAATGATGCCAATTGGTATGTCTCTGGTAACCTTTTTACTTCTGAATTTTAAGTTACACTTATACATTTTATTTATTTATTAAAACATTTTATTGATTTTTTTACAGAGAGGAAGAGAGAGGGATAGAGATTTAGAAACATCAGTGAGAGAGAATCATTGATCAGCTGCCTCCCACTGGGATGTGCCCTCAACCAAGGTACATGCCCTTGACCAGAATCGAACTTGGGACCTTTCAGTCTGCAGACCAATGCTCTGCCACTGAGCCAAACCGGTTTCAGCCACTTATACATTTTAAGTTGCATTTATACATAACCTGGATGATAATAAGTTGCTGCCCCCACTTAATCTTTTTTGGTGAATCCCTCTCAGGTTTGTTGTCATTGGACTTTTCCTCAGGAAGAATGTATCGGCAACCCCCAGTGAGATTCTGGATGAAGAGTTTGCCTTTTCTCTGTGCAGTAGGAGAAGGGTGATTGAAAACGGAGGTTGGAAAGAGAACCTGTAGACTTCAGTATCATGTTCAGGCAGGTACAATTCATTTGTTTCGTTTCCATCTCGGTTTAGTGTGCAGGGTTGTTGTGTGGTTCTTCAGGTCATTTTAATCACCTACGGTAGGGAGATTTCTACGTGAGGGGCCAGGTAGAGGCTGTTGGAATTTCTTAACTGTCAGGCTCTAGCCACACAGGTCCTTTTTCAGGTCCTGGAATACACTAGGCCCGTGGTCGGCAAACTCATTAGTCAACAGAGCCAAATAGCAACAGTACAACGATTGAAATTTCTTTTGAGAGCCGAAAACCGACTTCTGCGCATGGGCCATGAAGTTTCAATGGCACTGTATGTGCGCACCCACACGTGGTATTTTGTGGAAGAGCCACACTCAAGGGGCCAAAGAGCCGAGTGTACCTTGCGAGCCACAGTTTGCCGACTACTGTCCTAGGATCTTAGCAGCCCCAGGGCCTTCTTTTTCTTTTTTCTTTTTTTCATATATTTTATTGATTTTCTTACAGAGAGGAAGGGAGAGAGCTAGACAGCTAGAAACATCGATGAGAGAGAGTCATTGATCAGCTGCCTCCTACACACCCACCACTGGGGATGTGCCCGCAACCAAGGTACATGCCCTTGACCAGAATCGAACCTGGGACCTTTGGTTCTATTCACTGAGCCAAACCGGTTTTGGCTCAGGGCCTTCTTGTGTGTTGTTCCTCAGCTGGCAGTGCACTCCCCATCCCCCCACCCCAACCTGGCTAACTCCTACTAATTCTTTGGTCTCAGCATAATTGTCGCTTTCTTAGTGGGACCGTCCTTGACCAAATTGTTTACTATGTGTCCGCCTCTGTGCTAAATTGCTTTCCATACAATATTTTATTTCATCTGAATTTGGTCCTCAGTAAATTTTCTCATAGTAGCTGGAACTTTTCCTTTAAAGCACTTACCATTGTTTGTAATTAAGCACATATTTTTGTGCTGTTTTCCTCCGGAGATGATAAGCTTTCTCCATGTCTCTGCATCCCTAGTGTCTAGCCTGGTAACCGGCAGACCATAGACACTCAGAAAATGCTTGGTGAATGAACAAATGAATGGGAAACATTTGGAAGGAGGTTGGGTGGATCCCAGTGGATTCTAAAACCATCTAGATGCTGGTAAGTCCCAACTTTTTATCTGCACTTAATCACTAGGCTAATTGTGTGCAACAGCCATTCTCATTTCTATTTACAGATTAAATGCAGAGGGGAAATTGTATGTTGTAGTGCCTACCCCATCACATGTAGAGTTTGATGGATGTTATGATGCATTCCTAAGAAGATTCTGCTCTATTGGTTTATTACAGAATGCTGGGTTGTTCTTTTTCAGTATGGCTTTTTGTTGAGCTCAGAGTTACGGATCCCCATATTTGTTATGTAAAAGCAGTTGGATGGATGGACTGGACCAAGCTGTGAGATGAAGATTCTGGTAGTGAGTGGGGTCAGCTGAACTGGATAAGCAGCATTCTTTACAGAATTTTAACTTAAGAAAGCTTATTTTTTGCTTTAGTATGCCATGAGTAATAACAGCACCATTGACAAATACTTACAAATGTTCAATGCAGATTGTAAGGCGCCAACATGTGACTCAAGGAACAAATCCGCTTCTGTTGTTGTGGCATTATTGTCAGCCACACTGCCTTTGCTGTGGTATAAAACCATGTAGGATTAGACACTAATCCGAATGCCTCAATGGACTTGAAAAAGAAAGCTACCATGGATTCCTGGTGCAATTGTTCTTGTATAAGTTGCTAAATCCCTGAGCTAGTGGAGTTCGAGTTAAGCCTTACGGGCCAGCGGGAGCAAATGAGGTGAGCGTGAACATGCAGGGACAGAGTGTCCAAGAGTGATTTTCATGCCAAAGGAGAGTGCGGAATCATTCGGCAAGTTCGTGGAACTACCGATGGTTTGTGTGGGGTTTGGGCTTTGCTAGGAGGGGGGTGTAGGGAGAAATGAGGCCGGGGAAGCAGGCACGGCCTTCAGCATCCTGAAGGACTATTACCGTCTGTGCTAATGAGCTTAGGGCTTACTCTCTGGGTCCTCAAACTTTTTAAAGTGGGGGCCAGATCACGGCCCCTCAGAGAGCTGGAGGGCCGGACTATATGAACTACAGTACTAATTCCTACTGTAACACCTCGGCTGTGCTCACTGCCCAAAAAACCTGGCGGGCCGGATCAGACTCCTCTGCGGGCCGCATGTGGCCTGCAGGCCGTAGTTTGAAGACGCCTGTGAGGAGGCGCTGAAGGACTGTTAGCCGAGGGGTAATGCCTGATTATTATTATGAGTTGGCTTCTGGTCTCACAAGGGACATAGAGCTCTTAATAGTATACTTTTCTCT